ATTAGGAACTACTTCCATCCTGCGACGATACCTGTAATACCATCAAACATCCACATCTGCCTATCCCAGGTCCTGGGTAAGGACTCGATAGATAGACAAAATGCCAAATCCAGTCTGAACATCTGGCTGACTGTGCGATGATCCATAATAATAATAATAATAGTAGTAAAGTTGGAAGGGACCTTGGAGGTCATCTAGTCCAACCCCCTGCTCGGGCAGGAAACCCTACACCATTTCGGACAAATGGCTGTCCAGTCTCTTCTTAAAAACTTCCAGTGTTGGAGCATTTACTGCTTCTGGAGGCAAGCTGTTCCACTGATTAATTGTTCTCACTGTCAGGAAGTTTCTCCTTAGTTCTAGGTTGCTTCTCTCCTTGATTAGTTTCCACCCGTTGCTTCTTGTCCTGCCTTCAGGTGCTTGGAAAATAGCTTAATTCCCTCTTCTTTATGGCAGCCCCTGAGATATTGGAATACTGCTATCATGTCCCCCCTTGTCCTTCTCTTCGTTAAACTAGACATACCCAATTCTCGCAACCGTTCCTTATATGTTTTAGCCTCCAGTCCCCTAATCATCTTTGTTGCTCTTCTCTGTACTCTTTCTAGAGTCTCAACATCTTTTTTACATCGTGGTGACCAAAACTGGATGCAGTATTCCAAGTGTGGCCTTACCAAGGCATTGAAGAGTGGTATTAATACTTCACGTGATCTTGATTCTATCCCTCTGTTAATGCAGCCTAGCACTGTGTTGGCCTTTTTGGCAGCTGCAGCACACTGCTGGCTCCTATTTAAGTGATTGTCTACTAGGACTCCGAGGTCCCTCTCACAGTTACTACTATTGAGCATGGTGCCACCTATGCTGTACTTGTGCATTTGGTTTTTCTTGCCTAAATGTAGAACCTTGCTTTTTTCACCATTGAATTTCATTTTGTTAGTTAGTGCCCAGTGTTCAAGTCTGTCCAGATCCTTCTGTATCTGAAGCCTGTCTTCTGGAGTGTTGGCTATTCCTGCCAGCTTGGTGTCGTCTGCAAATTTGATGAGTTCCCCATCTATCCCTTCATCCAAATCGTTGATGAAGATGTTGAAGAGTACTGGGCCCAGAACAGAGCCCTGGGGCACCCCACTACACACTTCCCTCCATATAGATGCAGTTCCATTGAGGACCACTCGCTGAGTACGGCGGGTCAGCCAGCTACGGATCCATCTGGTGGTGGTTCTGTCTACCCCACATTTTTCTATCTTGTCAAGTAGTAGGTTGTGATCTACTTTATCAAATGCCTTACTGAAGTCCAAGTAAATTATGTCCACAGCATTCCTCTGATCCACTAATCTCTCAGCTAAATTTTGAGTGGATTCTCCTGCTATTAGGACATCATCAAAATAGGGGCAAACCCCTGGTATACCTCTCAGGGTGTTTTCCATTACACTTTGGAAAATTCCAGGAGCTACATTTACTCCAAATTGTAGTCTTCTGACTTTGAATGCCCCACTATAAGTTACAATAGTTTGTGCTTCAGCAGCAGCTTCATCAACAGGTAACTGTTGATAAGCCTGTGCTAAATCCAGCTTTGCAAAAACACGCCCCACTTTGAGGGAGGCCAAAATGTGGCTGACTACAGGTACAGGATATGCATGCTGTTGCAATGCCTTGTTTAAAGTGCATTTGTAATCTGCACAGATGCGAATGTCCCCATTAGCCTTGAGAGGCGTGACTATGGGAGTTTCCCAAGGACTTGAGTCAGCAGGTTCTAAGACACTTTGCTGAATCAATTTGTCCAATTCAGCATCAATTTTCCCTTTCAAAGCAAAGGGTACTCTCCTTGCCTTTACTCTGATAGGAGAGACAGTGGGGTCCAGTTTCAAGGAAACTGGGGGGCCTTTGTATGCTCCCAGCTGAGGGCTGAAGACATCTGCAAATTCTTTGCAGACTTCCTGTAGACCCAATGTTTGCAAACTGTGAAGCCCTATAACTTGTATTCCCAAGGCCTCAAACCAGTTGAGTCCAATGAGACTCGTGCGTTCACCCCCAACTACCAATATATCTAATGGACCTTCAAAATCCTTGTATTGTACATTAAGGGTGGCCTCCCCCTTAACACACACCTTGGAATCTTGGAAGTCCGTTAAACTTGGCCTGGAACCCACTGCTAGAGCAAATCTTTCTGAAAGTGTGAATGGAAATAATTGAAAGTGCAGACCCAGTGTCCAGTTCCATAACTAATGGAACTCCTTGCAACTTCACCTTAAGTGACAGTTTCTTTTTAAATGGCTTGTGGGTGCCTGTTCTATAAATGCTTCTACGTGATGCACAGAAACCCACCGTATTTTGGCTGGGGACCCTAGTACCTTTCAGGCGCAATTCTTCTCAGGGTTGTACCTTCTGACGGCCCAGACACACAGCTGCTATGTGGCCTTGCTTTCCACATGCTCTACAGATTGCAGAACGGAACCTGCAGTCGGTCCTCCTGTGGCGACCTCCACACCCGAAGCACTTGGGTACAGCTGAAGATTTTTCTTTGTCTTCCTTCTGTTTTTTTTCTTTGGCTGGGTAAAGATGATCCACCTCATCTTCAGGATCTTCTTCCGAGCTCTCCTGGACTCCCTCATGGTGCATGGAGACGGCTTCTGGGTTGTTCCTGATAGGCCTCATGTTCTTGACTGCCCCACCTGCTGCCTCTTCTGCAGTGACCTCTCTCAAGGCATCTTGGAATGAAATGTCCTCCTTTGCAAAGAGTCTCTGTTGCAAGTCTCTGTTCCTAAGCCCACATACAAATTGGTCTCTCAACCTTTCTTCTAAGTCTTTAAAATCACAAGGCTTAACTGCTCTTCGTAAGGCTGCAATGTATTCTTTAGCTGATTCACCAGCTCTTTGATCCCTCTGTTCAAAAGTATGTCTCCATGCAATAACAGACAACTTGGGCTGAAAATGTTCCTTCAATATTTTTTTTAAATCTGTATAAGTGACAGATTCAAGAGGAGCAGGGGCTGCCAAATTTTCAGCAATTTCAAATGCATCTTGACCACAGACACACAGCAAAGTAGCGGCCTTCAAGCCATCTTCTCTTACTTGATTTACTCTAAAATAATTTTCTACCCTGGCAACATAAGACTCCCATCTTTCTGGGTGCATGACATCGAATTCAGACAGTCTCCCTATCTTCGCCATTCTTGCTTCTCTGGTAGGAAGGGGTCTATCAGCCACCTTACCTCCAGCGACGCTGTACTGGCAGGCCAGGTGCTGAGTTTAACGCCGTCTTCCTCTCTTCAGGACTCTTGGGTAAGCTTACAATTCTTCTTTTTGTTTTTTGTAAGCCATCCCATCCTCGTCGCCAGTGTTGAGTCCTTGAGTCAACGGCGAATGAATACAGCACATTCTGTAATTCCAACAGCCCTTTATTTGAAGTAGTTCTCTCTCCGTCACAGCTCTGAGGCTCGCAGACTTCTCTGACTCCTTTTAATAGCGTCCTCCTAAGATCACCCAACTCACGTAACATTTGGCACGCTTCCGCGCCTCGCGCATGCGCGCGAAGCTGGCGCCAGCCAGTCTGGTCCCGGGCAGAAAAATGGTCATGTTCACTTTTTTCAGTGCTATTGTAACTTGAAACGGTCACTAAATGAATGATTGTAAGTCGAGGACTGACTTTCAATAGGTGAAGCTTCAGGAGTGATCTGATTCTTTCCTTAAAGCTTTTCCCTCACCCATTGCATAAACGGTGACTCATTTGTTGTGCAGAATTTCAAAAATTAATTCTGGGTGTTCACTTCTAGCCTAGCCCAGATACGCAGCTGTTGGCTAAAATATTTTCAACCACAACAAGCACTCCCTGGAAAAACTTTATAAAGTTTCAGCTCTTTCCCACACTACTTTTGGCTGCTGAATTTCTATCTTTCTCTCTCTTATCTCTCCATCTATCTTCTGTATGTCTGTATATCTCTGTCAAGTCTGTATCTCCAAATCTCTCTCTCTCCCTCCCTCCCTCTCTCTCTCTCCTGTATTTCTATCTTTCTTTCAACTCTCTCTCTCTCTCTCTCTCTCTCTCTCTCTCTCTCTCTCTCTCTCTCTCTCTCTCTCTCTCTCTCTCTCCATCCATCTACCTATCATCTATTTACCCCTGCCTTAAAGAAAACACTGCTGATAGGATCCATTTACAATTCCTTTTTTTAAAAAAAACAGTGTGGTCATTTATTTCATTTGCAAATAAAGAGAATGATCCAGATAAGAACCTTACGAGTTCCCAGCGTCTCATTCTCAGTTTATTCTTTGGGAACCTTGCTAGATAGCCAGATCAATCAACCAAAGGCCAGACCTTGAAAAGAGGGGGGGGGGGGGTGTCTCCTTTATATCAAATTATTGCTGCAACTCATCCAAGAAGGGGTGCATTGAGGATCTTAAAAGGACATTTCAGCAAGATTTATTTTCGTTGTAAAGACTCACTGAGAGTGAATGGGTTGCCATATAAATTTTAGAAAGAAAGAAAGAAAGAAAGAAAGAAAGAAAGAAAGAAAGAAAGAAAGAAAGAAAGAAAGAAAGAAAGAAAGAGGAAGGAAGGAAGGAAGGAAGGAAGGAAGGAAGGAAGGAAGGAAGGAAGGAAGGAAGGAAGGAAGGAAGGAAGGAAGGAAGTTGGCGTACAGGTAGTCCTTGACTTAAAACAGTTCAATGTTAAAATGGCACTGAAAAAATTGACATGACCACTTTTCACACTTACGACCGTTGCAGCACCCCATGATCAACATTCGAACACTGGGCAACTGACTCATATTTACGACGGTCGCAGTGTCCCAGGGTCACATGATTCCCCTCTGTGCCCTTCTGACAAGCAAAGTCAATGGAGGGGGGAGCCAGATTCACCTCACAGCCGTGTGGCTAACTTCACAACCGCAGGGATTCAACTTAGCAACTGTGGCAAGAAAGGCCGTAAAATGGGACACAGCCCCCTTAACAGAGGTCTCATTTAGCAGCAGAAACTCTGGGCATAATTCGAGGACCACCTGGATATCCCGTACCTTTTAATCTCGGTCTGGAAGGCATAGGTCTGGTGCGTTGGTGGGGCTGCCATCCTGTTCTCTTCCTCTTGAGCCTGAAATGCTGAAAGAGGGCGGGAAGAAAGGACAAATTCTAAATTAAAACACGGTTATCGGAGTAGATAAAGTGCTCTTAACATAACGCTGACACTCTGATGCTGCACTTAGTTTCCCAGGAGGGAGCAGGGCCCGGAGCCTCCACCACTCCCCTTAATACTGGTTTTATTACCATTATTATTCTTAACCCTAATCCTTCTGCATGGCTCATTGTGGCTTTCAATTAATGAAAAGAAAGAAAGATGAAGGGCGGACATGATAAGCAGTGTTCCAATATCTCGGGGGCTGCCCCAAAGAAGAGGGAGTCAAGCTATTTTCCAAAGCTCCTGAAGGCAGGACAAGAAGCAATGGATGGAAACTGATCAAGGAGAGAAGCAACCTGGAACTAAGGAGAAACTTCCTGACAGTTAGAACAATTAACCAGTGGAACAACCTGCCTCCAGAAGCGGTGAATGCTCCAACACTGGAAGTTTTTAAGAAGAGACTGGACAGCCATTTGTCTGAAATGGTATAGAGTCTCCTTCCTGAGCAGGGGGGTGGACTAGATGACCTCCAAAGTCCCTTCCAACTTTATTATTACTATTATTATTATTATTATTATTATTATTATTATTATTATTATTATTATTATGGATCATCGCACAGTCAGCCAGATGTTCAGACTGGATTTGGCATTTTGTCTACCTATCAAGGATAGGCAGATGTGGATGTTTGATGGTATTACAAATATCGTCGCAGGATATCTGTTATTATATTATATTATTATTATATTATTATATATATTATTATTAGATTATTATATTATATTATTATTATTATTATTATTATTATTATAAGGTAGTCCTCAATTTACAACCATTTGTTTAGTGACCGTTCCAAGTTACAACAGCACTGAACAAAATGACATGATCAATTTTCACATTTGCGACCATCGCAAAAATCCCCATGGTCATGCGGTCAAAATTCGGACGCTTTGAACTGACTCATATTTATAACCACTCCAGTTTCCAAGGGGTGACGTGATCCCCTTTTGCCACTTTCTGGCAAGCAAAGTCAACGGAGAAGGCAGATTCACTTAATGGCCATGTTGATTTGCCTAATCGTTGCAGATTCACTTAACAATCAAAGTGATCCCTTTAACAACCAATCAGACGGGTCAAAACTCGCGTAACAAATGTCTCGCTTGGCAAGATAAATTTTGGGTTCAATTCTGGTCATATGTCGAGGACTACCTGTAGTTAATTTCTTCCAAGAATTCCAATTTTCGTTGGGATTGAGGAAACATCCAGATCAAGAAAAAAAAAAAGGTAGGTTGTGTGGCGATAAACATTCCTTGCTGAATTTAGAGGCTGACCTAGGCTGGTCAGTCTTACCGCTGAGAGGAGCGGCATATAAAGGTGAAAATAAATGCATATTAAATAATAATGTTTTAAAGAAGTCAGCATGAAAAGGACCCCAGAGTTCAGTGATGAGCTACAAATATTCACTCCTGTTGAGAAAGCGAATACCTGCTTGATCTTCTTCACCAATTTTCACTTTGGGGGTTGGGTAGCTGTAGGGACCCACGCCGGCTGGGCTCACGCAGGCAATGCGAAAGGAGTAGACCAAACCGCGAGGAAGGTGTTCAACTGTGTAACAGCAAGCCGGGATGTCACTGGCCAGGGTTTTCCACTCTCCATCTTGGCCAAGAAGCAAAAGAAGGAAAAAAATTAATATTAAATAAATAAACAAACAAACAAAAAAACAAACCATTAATAAAGTAGGAAGAATAGGGTGAATTTTAGCCCTGCTTTAGGCAAGAAAGCCAGCTGGGTGACTTGGGCCAATCTCTAGGCCAGTGGTTCTCAACCTTTTTAATGCCGCGACCCCCAACTGGTCATAAGTCGAGGACTACTCAACCGGTCGTAAGTCGAGGACTACTCAACTGGTGCAGCACCGTTTGCAGAATGGGACTTTTGGCGGGCTCAGCAGGGCAGAGATAGCCTGGCCAATTCCTATTAGCTTTGGAAAGCCAATAGAATTAGACTCTATTCAAGGGAGTCTATTCAATTGGCTTTCAAAAGCCAATAGAATAAAAGGGAGTAGCACAGCTAAGGAAAAGGGGGGAAAAATGGCGGACTGCGTTGTTTGGCGATCCCCGTGAAATGGTCGTTCAACCCCAAATGGGGTCCCGACCCACAGGTTGAGAACCACTGCTCTAGGCAATGGTGAATTTTAGCTGCGGTTTCTTTGCCTCCCTTAAAGATGTAAGCAATACAGGTAGTCCTCAACTTACAACCATTTAGTGGCTGTTCAAAGTTACAATGGCACTGCAAAAACAACTTATGACTGTTTTTCACATTTGCAACCTTTCCAGTGTTGAAAGGAAGGCCAAGAAAAAGTAAAGGTAAAATGGGGCAAAATTCACATAACAACAGAAAGTTTG